ATTGCAAAAAGCAAATGATATGAAGTCAATTGTAGATGAAACAGTATCATTTTCTCGAAGTATTACATGTTTTTAAATTCTTTTTTAAGTATTTTAATTATTACAAACCGGACCATTGCATGAATTAACGATAATTTTTACTAAAAATCGTTGTTAAATGAATAATTTATTAAAAATAAAAACAATAATATTTGGATAGCATATCTAATGAGAGTATTTAAAATACGTATTTAATAAAAAAAAATATTATTTTAGGAAATCCAAATCTTTAGATTTAATTCTTTTCCGAAAATAAACGTATTCCGCTGTTGACACCAATGTCAATATCAACGCTTAATACGGTGATATCGGGTAAAGAAGGTGAAGATATGTACTAAAGCCCTAATAGTTTATTTATGATATATGGCCGTTTTTACGTTTACGTTTGTTACTACCTGATTTTGATAGATAATTCATTTTCGAGACGCATCATTTAACAACTAATTTTGTCATTTAAGGTAATAAATTGTATACAATCCTCGGGAAGAGAGTACATCATCTCACCCGGATGTGAATTACCATCCGAACCGATGAAGGCGAGGAAATTGCTTTTGATATTTTCAAAATAGAAAACAGGGTAAATTAAAATTTACAAAAAATTATTTCTAATAAACATTAAGAACACTATTTTACAATTACTGTAAAAAGGACTACTTCACGTAAATTCCGTAATTACGTGATAAACAAACTCAACTACCAATTACATTGAACCGATTTTGATAAATATTAGGTAGGAAAACTCTTACCGTTAACGCACAATCGTAAGAACTGCAGAATATGAAAACAAAATGGAGAAATTTAATTGCATTTAATGAAAACCATAATAAATTCGAATACGATGTTTATATCCTAAAACGTACAATCACAGTTTTAATAGCTACTTGGTATTTGTTATCACAGCCAGTACACATTTAATGATTAATGGCATGACAGATCAGTTGTAAAAACAAAAAAGCCCTCATAAAAATGGCAATTTCATTTAATCCATTAAGTGATTACGAAGTAATAAAACATGAGAGTTGTTAACGACCAACAACCCTAATAACACATGAACACATACATACATAACACACATACATTCATTATTTTGGATTAGAAAAACAGAGAACAATATACACATATATATATATTAAATATACTCATATTGTAGGATGGAATAGAGCATTAAACAAACATTTTTGCTTAACTATTTTTATGCTCAGACCATCTCCGATGCTGGATGAAGATTGCAGATGGAAGGAACTCTGAAGAAGCTTAGTATTCATCCAACAACTGTACCCGAATCGGAACAGCATCAGTTCTAACAGGTACCTCATGAAGAGCTTCATCTGACTACCTGAGAGCCACTGCCTTAGTTTTAGTCTACTCCAGCAGAATCCTGTGCTCCAGCCTGAATGAATAACATTCTGACACAAAATATTGGCATACAATTCAACCACACTATGCGACTAATTATACACTAAATGAGACCCAACTCCTGAACACTATTTACCTGCTCTCAGCAGCATTGTTCCACCTCATCTCAGACACCTCCAACACCTACTAAGGATGAAATTCGCGCTAAATTCGACCTGCCCATTAGCATTCAGATCCCCTAGACTAAAGTCACGAAATTCAGCAATCTTACTCCCCTAACCGAACGGAACGCCCAATTCACCTGGATAGAGGAAAGGACGGTTAACGTTAGGTCTATGGAAATGTTCCAGTTTGATTGCCTCAATCACCTACAAGGTTTTAAAGACGTGTCTGGTACTCCCTGAACCGTATAAGAACCGGCGTAGAACATTGCACTTATACTCCAAAACATCTAACTAACTGCTAAAAAATCGTGCACCACATCGTCTTTTAATGACCTCCGAAAAAGTGTGATGGACCATCACTAAATTTTGAAGACTTCATGAACGAAGCGGTAGACTACTAAAGGAAATGTAAGTTTAAGCTATGACACATGGTATATATTTTTTCAATACTAGAAATAAACAATTACTATCGGGTTGTTCGGAAAGTCATTTCGTTTTTTCCCGACAGAGGATTTAATTGTATTCTTTTGCACCCAACTTCACATTAAGCCGTATAATTTTTATATGCTTTGAGAGCTCATATAGCAAGGCTTGTGTGTGAAAAATTCCAATTAATTCTACGCAGTAGTTTTTGGTTGGTGCCCTTTTAAATATGGAGAGCGATAAGCAGCATTTTCGACATATCTTACTGTTTTACTACAGAAAGGGTAAAAATGCTGTTCAAGCCAGAAAGAAATTGACTGATGTGTATGGAGAAGGTGTGTTGACAGTACGCCAGTGCCAGAACTGGTTCGCTAAATTGAGGCCGGTTGAAGCTGATAAAGACGCGATAAAGGCATTAGTTGATGTGAACCGGCGAATAACAACACGTGAGATCGAATTTTTAGACGGTAAAACCTTCACCTCAAATGAGGAGGTCAAAAACCTCCTCGATCAGTTTTTTGCCAGCAAAGACCAAAAATTTTATGAGCGTGGAATTATGCTACTACCAGAAAGATGGCAAAAGGTATTGGACCAGAACGGTCAATATATAATTTAATAAAGTATTAAAGTATACGAAAACTGTCTTTCATTTCCACAAAAAAAAACGAAATGACTTTCCGAACAACCCTATAGATTACTGCACTTTTTCTTTTCATATTACTAGGTACCTATTGAAACTTAACAATTTGAACCAATATTGATCAATATATATCAAACATTATACACTTTTTAAATACAGCCTGGTGCGGTGGTTATAATCTTGTACTTTTTGGTTAACATTCACTGTCATTTCCCAAGTCACAACTTTTTATGTGAAACCTGTATAGAATGTAGATGCACTGTAGGGTGTAGAGGTAGTAAAATCATTTACTAAGGGTCATCAAAATTGAATCGCTTAAATGCTAAATCCGCCACTGCCGTCTCTGATACGTCTACCAATTCGAAAGGCAGTCAGACGTATGTATAAGTCAAATAGCGTTTGCACCGATTCGAATACAATCCCGATAATGGTATACTTCGACTCAAATATCCATTCACCTCAAAGTTATTTTACATTTCAAATTTATCGTGAATAATTTGATTTCTTTCGTATCACAGGTTCACAGGAAATATCTAAATATATACGTGGACATTATACATTCATACGGTGATAATCAGGATTTGTTTGATACCTTAATTTAAACCAGTCGCATCACTTCGCTTCATATGAATTTGATGCAATCAAAACGTAATTTGAAATTCATATGTCCCTGATGGCATGACCAAAAGAGTAATTTAAAGGTCAATTACAGCTACTAGGGACGGCTGGGTAAGAATCCGAAAATTTAATAAATTTCAAAAGCTTTCTTTCGCTTTCTTAACGAAATCAATACAGCTAAGGAGCTAAAAACATGAAAAGGTACTTAAAATAAATCCCACTTCTGATACGCTTTCCCTGTGTCTAAAAAAACACAGAGGTTCATTGACACTTGAATCTTGTTTACATTCACTTTAAAAACAGAAGTCGGTAAAAATATTCTAGAGCGAAGTTTATTTTTAACATTTCCGAACATTTCAGATAAATATATATAATAAATAGAGAGTGTTCATAGTTCATTAACAACCGTTTAAATAGCGGAATCAATAATTATAATGAAGAAGTCGAAAGTCTAGAGTCGGGAGACGAATTCAAGATGATGACTCAGGGTGGTGAGACGGCTTACCGACTTCACACACCCTGTGTTTCTAACAATCTTAATTAAAAGTTTGTATGTATTTGTTGATCATTAAAAACACTGTAATTATTGTAAACTCTATTAAACTATTTACAATATGTACAATGCTTTCAATCGGTGAGTACAACTAGTGAAAATAAGCGGTGAAGATAAACGGTGAACAGAAAACGCGCGGCTTGATTGTACTCTCTTGTTGATACTGATGACACACTTCTTAAGAGTGAAGAAGTGGTGAGATAGAGAAAGACAGCACAGAAGCATTAGTAATGGAAAGAAAAGAAAAGACTAGTAGTAGATGCAACTATAAGTGATGGACGAAGATACAAAAACTGCAGACCAAGTCCTAATAAAGGAAAGAGCAAAGAC